CAACATTCGTAAAGGTATCAAGACTTCGCTGGGCTGATCACGTCATAAGAATGGATCCAAATGAAGTTCCTTACAAGATCTTAGCTGGGCAAATGTATAGTATCAGGCGGGTTGGACGCCCCAGACTTCGCTGGGATGACTGCATGGCTGCAGACGCAAGATCTCTGCTCAGTGTTATGAACTGGAAGGCAGCAGCATGGAACAGGGAGTCTAAGTTAGAACTGGCGGTCTAAGCTTGAGCAGGCTATGACTCAAATGATGGGTTGTAACGCCGAATAAGAAGTACTATGCTGGTGAAATATTTATTTATAGCCTACATGACCTATGTGCAGTTCTTCGTCAGGGCTTTCATACAACAATAACAGAAGATAGAAGGGCACAAAGCATATCGTTATATATTTTGAGGACACCAAAAGAAAAAAAAAATTATCTAACTACCTTATTAAGTCAGAACCGGAGGATATAAGTCAGGGCGGATATAATTTTGCAAAACCCTATAGATGAAAATAGAAAAAAATCCCAAGTTGTGGGGTTCCCAGTTTAAATGTGGTCCAAGGCAGATCATCATAAAATTATGAAATATCTAACATTTATTTTTGGAAAAATGAGTATGTTTATTGTCAAATATAAAAAACCAAAATGGTTTTTGATTTTCATTATTATTATTTTTAAAAAAACTGAATAAATCAATGAAAAATAAACAAGTTATAAACAAAAAAAAAAAAAAAAAAAAAATTAATGCAACTTTTGATATAAGTTGGGTTTATTGATCAATATAAACAAGATAGGAAGCACAAGATCTTTAAATTGGAGTTAACAAACTAATAACATCAGCTCCTCAGAAGAGCCAATAAGCAAAGTTCAGATTTCTATTGAGAAATATGAAAACATATGCCATAAGATGGGGTAACTTTGGGACTTAGTGCATAAATTTGGGAAAGCAAGTAAAATTTAGTTTGTGGTGATTCAATGTTGGATACACAGTGTTGGTTCAGTCAGCATGGACAGTGCATGTACTGCGCTACTACCTTTGCGGCACACTACTCTTGAAGCACAAGCGAAAGTTTCATGAGAACAAGAAAATTGAAAAAAGCAATGAAAATAAATAAAATCTAACTGCAACTAAGAGTATAGTGAACTAGAGATCTCAAAATGCCACAAGGTAGTAGCGCAGTAGATGACTACACAAGCATATTTTTGCAGACTGAACCAAGACAATGTATCCACCACAGAACCATCACCAACTAAATTTTACCCACTGTCCTAAAGTTACCCACCCAGTCCCAAAGTTAACCCATCTTACGGTACTTATTGTTTATTCCTCCCTCTAATATCTTTATTGCCTACTATTTAGCATAAACCATCTGCAGTATATTTTCATCCCTCTTTTGTCTGAAAGTAATGGACAGTAATATATATGGATAAGTAATACACAGCAGGTTTCAGTGAAATTCATTATTTTGTCAACCAATTTCATAATTTTTTCAACCAATTTCATGCACTTAATTTAATGAGGTATCATTATCAAGAACTCCTGTGAAATTCAAAGGATATAGATCTAAGGGAATTAGAGAATTCCCAGTCTATTTATTTATTTATTTTTGCATGCAGACCATCACAGTCTCAGTTACTTGCCGGTCTTGTTACAGCGCAACATAGTTGTTAAACATGAGTAGTTATAGTTCATCTTCACAGAAACCTGTGAATAAAGGAAGGCATAGATTCCAGAATTTGATTGTGAGGGATAGTGAGTCTTCATTTGCATCTTCGCAAGATTCAAAGGCCAGACCATTACACAACAAGCCACAAAGAAGAGGTAAATATTCTGTTGATTTGCGACCACAAAAACAGCTAGTCATCAGATTGGTTGAACGAGAAGGTCTCACAATCAAGGATACTGCAATAGGTCTCAGAGCCTAAAAATCGTACTCAGGAGGAGGTAATTGAAGAAAATGCAGCTTACGACTTACAAGAAATGAAAGAGAGGCCGTCTCAGCGGAGCATTGATGTTTTAATCTTCACTATTCATAGAGGACTATTTCAGTTGAAAATAAACTTAAAACATACTTTAAAAGAACTTGATCTCATGAACTCAGAGTTCAGAACACAAATTGCTATTAATTTTGAAAGTTGAATACCTCAAAATTGCTCTCTCATAGTCGAATCTAGATTTAACCTATATTTAACAAGACCGGCGAATAACTGAGACTGTGATGTTCTGTATAGAAAAATGAATAAACAGAAGGAATTCTCTAGTTCCATTCGATCTAATCTTCTTCGAATTCCACACGAGTTCTTGATAACGGATACCTCATTAAAATAAGTGTATGAAATTGGTTGAAAAACTATGAATTTGGTTGAAAAATTATGAAATTGGTTAAAAAAATTATGAAATTCACTGAAAAAAGCTACATAACTATACACACCGCTAAGACAGTAATTTCATTTGTACATTGAATAGAATATTTCTATAAAAAAGGTAATAATAAATCACATTAAGTTTAAAAATGTATATAAGGTTCCCAGGGTCAGAACTTAGATTTTTGTCAGGAGGAGCAAGCTTAATTTTAGTTATTTTAACCATAATTCACTAGTTCCGGCCCGGTAAACTCCTATTTCATAAGTCCTCGCCTACCACATTACCCAACGATTATATTTTCAACAATTGTTGAATGGAAATTCGACATAAGAATGTACCGCAGTCTCAGGAAGGCATATTGTGCGTCGTCCTGGACTCAATTAAAACAGGCCAAATGCCTTTGCGAATCTGTTAATACTAATAGGATCAAGTAGTTAGCAGTGCTTAGGGTCAGTGATACGATCACATCCAAAGTGAAAGTATCGCAATCTAGCCAAATTATCACATTTAGAAATAATGTGATAGGCCGTTTCATCCTCCGGACCACACTGCCTGCAGGTGGAGGTCTCACTTATACCCAAATTAAACATGTGCTTAGTTAATTGACAGTGTACAGTGTAGTCCTACTAGTGACAGGGCACTACTAGGAACAACTTAGAATGAGTTTATTTCCTAGTCTGTTCTTAATATAGCCTAAATTTGTTACCCAGGATTGCCTTAATATGCATTTTGGCAAAACCAAGGCTTATCTCACAGATGGGCTCTGGTGCAACCGGCACTTGTACAAAACATTTCCTAGAAAGGCAATCGGCTTTCTCATTGACTGGAATGCCTGAGTGCCGAGGCACCCATTCTACCCTCCCCTCGTTGGTACAACGAAGAAGGTTAACATTTCCTTTACATTCATCCACCAACTTACAGAGTGTTGCTTAACTATTCAGAGCCCCAAGAGTGTTGCTTAACTATTCAGAGCCCCAATTGCAGCTTGACTATCTGTATATATCGTTATCAATCTATTCATAACGCCCTCCCTTATAAGTGATTGAGCATAGAAATGAATAAATAGAATCTCGGCTTGTAAGACGGACGCATACCTACCTAGAGATATGAATGTTCCCTCATTAGGTTTATCCTTTCTCCATATACCAGCCCCTGATCCTTGCTCCATTAAGGAGCCATCGGTATAACAATTAACTCCATTGCATGGTCTATGTGAGTTATTCCTGCCTATCTTCAAATTATTTAGTATATCTCTATAATTATCGACTTGAAGGTCAGATTTCATCGCAAGCACCTAATTGCTATCAATCCTATCAAAAATGATCCCATGATTCTGAAACGTCAGGAATTTCGATCTTGTTCCCAATTTATTCAATCTATAGGCAGTTCTGAGAGTGTGTGCTTCCACTTCTATATGCAATCGTATCAGAATAAAGAGAACCTCCCTTGCAGCAGTAGGAGTAGTGATCATAGCTCCAGTCGTCATAAGGCATGCAAGCCTTTGTAGTTTGCCAAGCAGCATTCTAGGCTTGCTTGCAGCTGCCCTATGCTACCATATATACTATTCCTCAACTTTTCTTCACTCTGAGCCAAATCAACAAGCCATTTTTGAGATATAAGTATATCAAGGTTTGTGCAACTTCAAGCAAAATTAAAGAATGAAATTTGATAAAAATAATAGTAGATTATTCTTTTACAATTTCTAACTTTCTTCCAGTTGTGTTACAATTAAAATTGGATAGTATTATGGTAGTATTAACTTAACAACAGAGAAATACAGAACCAATTTTTCCCTTGATTTTAAAACGTTAATTGCGTACAAAATTATAAATTCTGAGAACTAATTTTTTTAACTTTCTACATGAATACAAAGCTTCCCTACCTTACATAGGTAAGAAGTAAAAATTTGTTACAGTACCAACTTTATTCAATTTTATAATTTTCTTTTTTTCATTTTGTAAGCCATAAATTTTTGGAAAATTCTCTGAATTTGCTGATAATACCTGACTTTCCACAGACTTAGAGAAAAATGAAATTTCAAATTAAAAACTCCTTGGTTTTCTGTTTGTAAACAGATTGTTTAATGCACGGATTCCTGAGTGTGAAATCAATCATAAATCCTTAAATTTTAACAATATTTGAGATAATTAATTCATAAACAAATAGTAAAAATTTTATATCTAAATATTATTTTTTTTTATATATATCTCTGGTGAATCTGGTACATGAAATAAGATATAACACGGTAAGTATTCTATTCAAGTATTGAAAAAACTTCATATTGTGACAGCTGAATTCCATGCCTAGGCATTTGATACAATGCCTGATTTTATACTTTGGCAGTAACTTATGTATAAGTATTGAAAAAACTTCATATTGTGACAGCTGAATTCCATGCCTAGGCATTTGATACAATGCCTGATTTTATACTTTGGCAGTAACTTATGTATAAGTTCCACAAAATAATTAATAATAATAAATAAATACTTGTATTAATAAAAAAACATTTTTAACTCTAAATAATAATGAACTCATAAGAGACCTAGAATCATAAATTATTATTCTTTCTGATTCCAAATACCAAATTAAAATATTTGTAATAAGTATATGAAATATAAATATAGATGAATAAAAGAAAAACCTCTTGATATTCTCCCATTGGTGTTAGATACTTCAGAATAAATAATTGCCTAGTAGCAAGAGTTAAAGGATGCATCTGAATATTTCCTATAACATAGGTTTCCATTTCTGCCCATGAAGAATTACTGCAATCTGAAGTGTTGAAACCAGATGCCTTGAGCGGAGGAGACATCATACCTTCTGTACTTGGCCTTCTCGTTTTATGATGAGTTTCTAAACAAAAATAACTCAAAAATTAGCAAATTTTTACTTATCTCTTTTTAAATTTTTTTTTTACTTATATCCATTTCAAATTCAACTTTTTAATAAAAAATCAATTTTTTTCTACACATCTATATTTTTCTATAACAATAAATTAATGTAAATCATCTGTAAATAATTATGTTGTAGTGTGTCCATTATGCAGGAATACTATTAATTAAAAGAAAATTTAAAGAAAAATAAATAAATTACTTGACAAAAAGGATCTAAAGTACAGTTTAACAATGTTATACTAAAATAAATAAAAGTAAAAAGTTTGTTTACAAACACTGCAAGTCCTAAACTATTTATAGACAGCTTCAGTATGAACTATATTTTTATTACATTCTCCCAGTGGTATAAGAATACGTCACCCTATTATTAAATATCATGCCTACTCTCAATCTCACTTCGTGTTACTCCACTCTACTTCAGTTCAGCCCTCAGTAACTGGCCAGGGTACATATGTTAAAATATATATATATTAAGAGTTTGATGTGCAATTGCAAAATCTTAAATCTGACAGTATTATCATAAGTGTCTCTGACAACATAATAGTAGACCCTTATATCAATAAAATCCTTAAAGTTACAAATATTCTATGCAGAATTTTAAATCTGACAGTATTTTAATAAAAAATGTCCCCAACAAAATAATAGTGGACTCTTATATCGAAGTAATCTGAAAAACATCAAAAACTCGATGCTCAATCGCACAATCTTAAATCTAATAATATTTTCATAGGAATCACCACCAACGACATAATAGTGAACTCTTGTATTGAAGATATCTGAAAAGTATCAAAAACTTGATGCATTATCTCAAATCCGACAATATTTTAATAAAAAACGCCACCAACAACATAATGGAATAGAAATAAAAATAGAAAATAAACTTTATTTCAGGGACGATGTCTCCTTATAACAATAATGAACAGCTACAAAAGAAAAATACATATCTGGCCAAAAACTAACTTAATAAAGATTCAAACAATATATACAACTGAAATCATAGTAAGTAAAAAACTAAAACTAAAATAAAATCTTCTCAACTATACTTATAATTGTACTGGAAAAAAATGTATAGAAAAAAAAAGCAAAACCTCCAGAAAAGAAAAAATATCAAAAGTGCATAAATAAAAAGTATTGACTTTTTATGTTAACAAATAAACAGCTAGAACATAAAAAATATATACATAGATTAAAGGTATATTAATGACAGAAGATGAGCAACAGAATCACAATATTGCATTATCACGGCATAAGAGATATAAAATAAGAATAAATAGATAAATATAATTAGGAAGGGACATTAAATTAATTTTATGAGAAAACCCTTGCGGAAAAAAAAATAAACTAACTAAAAGAAGATAAATTATTTATATATATTAAACAATACACAATGGTATAGTAAACTATAAAAAAACACGGATATTAAGATAGGAAAAGACATATATGCATATAATTTAAGGAATATAAAAAATGAAATACATCTAAAATATACAGTATCTTGTAAATGGAGAAAAAATAATGGATAAAAACAACTAATAATTGCGTATTTTTTATGCATCACATCACAGTGCTACGCCAAAAGTGATACTGAATCTATTACTGAGTCTTTCCAATTCATAAAAAATAAACAAAATATAAAATAATGGTGAATAAAAAGAATAAGAAATAAATTTGCTACATAATACATAATTAATCAGTGTCTGATTGAATTGTGAAAAGGAATTGGAATAAGAGAGTTTTGAAAGTGGATAAGGATGGTGCATGGCGGATTTTAGCTATTCATAAATCTTTTTAGTCTGTCCCATCGAGAGGCCGCCATACACCACACAGCTGTAGTCAAGGTGGGAGAAGATGAGGGAGGATACTAGGACTTTACCTGGGGGTATAGGTAGGATATGTCGGAAGCAATGGAATAGTTTAAGGATACAAATTGACCACTGAGAGATGTGGACAGACAATGTGGTGATTTCAGGAGAGGGTTTGGTAGATGAAAATGCTGGATAGATGGTTATTTAGATACAGAATAGGAACATTGGTATTGGATTTGAGGAGGGGTTTGGAACCAATGACAATGGCCTGAATTTTATCAGCATTTAATCTTAATCCATTTATGTATGCCCAGGCGCTGATGCGATTAAAATCTTGGATTTTGGCAAACACATTGTACAACTCAGAGGGAGGGAAGGAAAGATAAATTTGGAAATCATCGGCATAGATGGTGAGTGGAGGAATGATTTAAGGAGGTCGTTGATATAGGAACTAAAAAGAAGAGATATGCTAGAGCCCTGGGACACTCCTGAGGATAGAGTAAGATAGGAAGACAAGGGTTGATTAGGGACAGCGACAGCTTGTGAACGTTAAGAGAGGAAAGAGTGAAACTGTGGGCAAGATGTATGAAAAGTAAAAGTTGTCAAGGATGTACCGGGAGAAGAGGAGGAAGCAGTAAAAGGAGGAGTGGAAGAGGAAGCAAATATAAAATATGAGTTTAAATCATCTGGTAAAACTGGAAATACTGCTGAAGAAGGGGACCTGGAAGATTCACAGAGGGAGAGTTTACGAAGGAGTAGCCATTTGGATTTGGAAAGGGCTTCATGGAAATAGGTCGATTTGGTACGTCGGTTTGTGGTTTGTGTCAAGTTGTGGGCACCCTCAACGCTTGATAGTGGTTGGCCAGCCTAGTATGTCTAAAGCGTCTACGGGCAGCATCACGCCTCTTCTGGAGATCCTTAATTTGCTGACACATCCAGGGAGCGAGACGGAGATGAAAAGTAGAGGTTTTGAGAGAGGCGTGGGCTTCAAGGATATTAAGAAGCTTGGAAATGAGGACATCCACCATGGCATCAATTGTGGAATAGGAATATAATCTACTCCATCTATGATTTCCAGGCAGGGTAAGATTTTTTCTCGAGTTAGGTCATTAAGGTTATGGAATGTTATGGTTCTAGGTATGATCGGTGGAGTGTGGATATTGTAAGTTGTTTGGATTTGATCATGCGACGATAAAAAGGAGACCGGTAATTGGGAAGAGAAAAGGAAGCTCTAAGCGGAGTCAATAATGTACAGGTCCAACCAAGATCGGACCTGGCGGTGTGATGAGTAGGAGAAAAAGGAACGGTAAATAGGTTGAAGAGAGAAAAAAAGATTTTCGAGATATGATTTATTGCTGAAGTCGGAAAGGAAATTAATATTTAAGTCACCAGAAATGATAATTTTGGAATAAAGAGGAACAAAGTTAAAGAGGGATGATTCGAAGGATGGATCAAATGGAAGAGGAGGATGATATACTACAGTATAGAGGAGAGAAGAGGTGTTACATGAGATCTCGACAATTAGGCACTGGACTTGAGGCTGATCGGATGGAGTGGAACAAAGGAGAATTAAGGTCTTCAGGCTTTCATGAAAGTACATATCTCCGTCAGTCCGCTCAGTGTACCGCTCGTATTAGCCAGGTTTCAGAAATCGTAATGATGTGGTAAAAATTTTGGGTAAAATAATCTAGGAATTCATCGTAATGAGCTGGAAGGGATTGGGAGTTGACGTGACAGGTGGTTAGGACACAAGACATGAGTAGGATTTAGGAAAGTACAATCGATATTTGATAGGGAGACGCTGGAATAAAGTAGATACCTTAAACATGATGATATAATAAAATAAAAGAAGTCAGGAAATAAATTAATCAATGAGTAACAATAGTAAAATTGCCTATGAAAGTCCGGTTTGCTTGCCAAATGTTGATCGATGCTGGAAGGTGAACAAAATTCGAGTCATCAGCCGAAGACATCTAAGTCCTTGCCCTGGTTGATGAAGACCACCTGATGGACGTCGTCTTTTCGGCACCTCAATCTGCCAGCAGCAAACCAGGTGTACTTTATTTTTCGCACAGTTTTCTTCTGTTGATCAAGCCAATATAGGTGCCTATTCATCAGGATTATCTCCTCGCTGAGATAGATAGATACGGTGGAAGTCATTTTCCTGCCGATCTATTTCCCCACGTCGAGAAGTCTGTTTTAATTTTCGCTTATGCAACAGGTCATCCCTTGCTCACTGCCTGACAAACCGCGCGATGATAGGCGGTGGCCCAGGGTCGTTTGTACTGGATCTGCGGTGCTGCAGTTTCCAGATATTCGATATTGAGCTTGATGCCAAGACCTGCCCCTATACTTGTAATCAGGACTGTGGGGGTCTCACCTGCTCAAACTGGGATGCTCCGAATCTCGAGCGATATTAGCAGACCTTGTTCAGTTTTATTTAGCCTAGCCTCTAATTCACCCACTCTAGATTTGAGGGTTTTATTTTCCAAGATTATTTCCTCTAGATGCTTTGCTTGTCCCTCCAAATGATTTTCAATTTTATTTAAATTTTGTGTTTAATTCGAAGCTGAGGTTTCCATATTTGTCAAGTGCAGATTTAATATTTTTTATCTCTCCATTCACATATTTATCAAGCCGCTGTGCTGCCACCAGAATTTCTGACGGTGTCGATTCCGTGGTTCAATTTTGAACAATGTTTTCACCATCTGCCGTATCCTTTTTAGCCTCAAAGTCTTTATCACTAATTTTACAGCACCTACTGTGAAATAACAGTTTGCACTTAGGGCAACATAAATTATTTTTTTCATCTCTAGCGATGGTGCTGCTGCATATCGGGCAATGAGCCATATTGATATAAAGTAAATAAGTTTTACTTACAATAAAAAGGCAGGATGTTATGACACATAAGATAACAGTGGGGCTCAATCCTATAGAACTAAGCTGTTTACTACAGTCCCATAGCTCGCAATAGTTTATAATTTAATGAAGTTCACTTCTCGCTGAACTGTGAGGAACCAAAAACTCTCAATGAAATATATAGTTGAGGAATTAATATAAAAAAAAAAATTGTAAAAATCAAACAATTTGAATGAAACAAAACACACAACAACACAACTGTCTCTGGCCAGACTGTGGACTGTGGAATAGTGGACCCTTAGATCAAAGATATCCTAAAAGTATTAAAAATTTGATGCACTATTGCACGATCTTAAATCCGACAGTATTTTAATAAAAAGTGTCCCAATAACGTAAAAGTGGACTCTTATGTCGAAGGGACCCATAAAGTTGCAAAAAAGTTATTCATATGAATATTTTCTCTTAAATAACGAATGATGGATAACACAGGTTATCTGTGAATAACTAATAAAAAATAAATCATCTGTTTAAAAGTCATCGAATAAGAATAATGAATAAAGATTCATCTATTATTTGTTATCTAGATAAAAATTAAATTAAATTAAATTAAAATAAAGTATTCTAATAGAATTAAATTGAGTCAGAATTAAATATAATAATGGATCATGACAATTTTCCTTGAGTTTCATTATTTAAAAAAATTGGATGAAATTTATTTTATTTAGAAATGTTGTTATAGATTATAAAGTACGTGGAATTGTAAGTATATATGTATATAACTATTTTGTTAATAATCAATATGTTTTTATGGTAATGTCGAAAGTTAACAATTAACATTTTGATTTATATACTTCATAAGATTCACAAGTCATCGTAGGAAAACATTAATACTTTCAATCTGATAGATAGTTATCTAATTCATAATAATCAACAGTATTGATAGTGATACTCTATCAATAATAAATTATCATATATTCAAACTAAGATTATCAAACTGTCATATAATCACATTGCAAGGTTCATAGGACTTGGGTTATTTAGAGTAGATCAATAAAAAGATTCTAAGAACTGTGGGCTTATCAATTCAACAAGTCTTCTACAGTTTGTTAATCCTACCAGAGTAATGTTTTGAAGTTAACAGCAAATAGTAGATTATGGCACAATAGACCTGAATTGGCTGAGGTACAATTAATTAAGAAAAAGAGTTTCCATACAGAGATAGAACTTTCACTCCCCTCAATGATGTAATGCAAGAACATTTTTTTTTCATGCCATGGAAATTCTCTATATTATAATAATTCCATGTTTTGGGAGAAATTCTCCTCAGTTGCTGGACACCCTGCACAAGCACTTACAATGGAGATAATATAAAATAGAAAAGATCAACAATTAATCGTTGTTTGTGAAATTTAGGTATTAATAAAATAAACCAAAATCAAAATGTTTTGTGTTTCACTGTTATAAGTAAATGTGTTATTCTATTTGAACATAAATAAAAAAGTAGAAAAATTATATACCTTCTGAATTTGGCTTCAGTCCATTCACTAAAACTGGAGATTTAATAACATGATTATCCTCAGATAAAATCTTACTAGATTTGGAAGTGCTAGGAACAGGATTCCCTTTAGAATCTGTAAACATAAATATAAATTAAGCATGTAATATAAATATAAAATTTAAGAAAAACATGTATATATATATTGTAATATTCTCCTCTCCCTCCATTTTTTCAGTAAGTCTGTTATATGAAATAAGAAGTTTTTCAGCAAATTCACACTCGGATTGTCCTTGACTCCTTCGTTCCTAAAGCAAATAGTATACATCCTCTTCCGGGGTCCATCTTCCTCCGCCATATAATTTCTTTAGTTCTGCGTGCGCTTCTTAGGCTCTTTCAAGCTCTCTATAGACACAATGTTATGTTCACGAATAGCAATCACCCTAAATGGGCCCCCATACCTCACTAACTCCTTGAGCCTATTGGACCCTCTCCTCCAGTACACTATCGTTCCAATTTTAATATCATCCAGTATGTCCTTGACCCCGAAGTTATCTTTTCTTACACTTCTACATTGTTCATTCTCAATTTTACTCCGGACTTTCTCCCATCGTTTCACCAATGTTATTCTATTACTAATGACACATTCTGATAATTCCTCGTCCACTGTCGTACTTGTGCTATCCCTGCGCTGTTCCCGCAACCCAAAGAGGATCTCAAAAGGCAAAAAACCTGTTACGATATTAATTGAATGATTATATGAATGATTATTATGAATTAAAGGCTCATGCGAACACTCTGGCATGGTTAAAGGTGCGGAAAGCAACCTCGCAAGACTTAAGGAAAGCGGTCTCTGATTTCGAAAAATTCACCGGGGAAACCGGTGAATTGAACCATTTCCTAAAAGCCGGTGATCAGTTGATGGTGCGGATCGAGATGAAAATAGCTGATGAACTAATTGACACAGGAGATGCAAATTCAATTAAGGCAGATCTGGTTTGCATAGTCAAAAGGAACATTCTTAACCTAATCTAAGCCGATGAAGGGGCCAGTATAGCAGAATGGTTAGCGCACTGTACTAGTAAAGCAAAGATCATAGGATCGAATCCCGGGTTTCAGCACCAGTTAACTATTGGCTTCGATAAATAGAAAAAAAGAGAAACAAACAACTGGAAATAGATTAATTTTCAATAAGTTTTTATTTTACAAACAGTAGAGTCTTTATCACAGGTTATATAAACAGTATATTTATAACATGTTTATTTTTAATGAATGAAATAATATTAAATCATATAAGAATTATCCATCTCCCGCTGAACCTTAACTTATTTATATATATAATATAATATAATATAATATATATATATATATATATATATATATATATATATATATAATAAAATGGAGATTAGCTGTTTCTTATAGCCGGTCCCCTAATTTATTTGCTTAGATTACGCACATAATATATATGAGTATAGTAAAATGGAGATTAACTGTTGGTTAGTAATTAGTCTACAAGGCTGACATCGAAGAAAGATGTGTAAGAGTTGATGCATATTTCAGTGGAAAAAAAAACAGATCAAGAATGATATTATCAATAGTTACCAATATTATCAATATTTTCAATGATTACCAACCAAATAGTTAAATTTGACTTTTAAAATTTAAAAACCAATTTAAATAAACTTTAAAACTAACTGAGTGCTCTTGATCACCTCGGGTGAAGGAAATACATTGAGACAACTTGATCTCATTTATCTCCTGTTTCAGTGGGCAGCTGAGTGATAAGGTTTTTATTAGAAATCACCATTACAAAATGGCTATGGCAAAAATTAAAAATTTAAAAAATAGGGAGTGAGAAAGAAACTTAAAATATCTGAATTAAAAATTTGCACCACTACAACACAAGGAGGACCTTGGGTTAAAACCAAAAGTGATGCAAGGAAAATTATATCATTTATGGTATTCTCAATATTACAGCTTCTCTTTTACAAAAGAGTGATGAAATGAAAACCATAAGCATTTTTTTTTTTTCTTCAATGAAAATCATGGATTACCAAAAGGAGTGTACTAAAAATTTAAGTTTGAGTACAATAAGTTATCCTCAATAAGATTGTTGAGGTCATTGACTCTTCTTAGACCTCCTCAAACTCAGTAAAGTTGTAAGCAGAGACGAGCAAAAATTACTATGAATATAGTACTCAAATTTAATCACTGTTAGGAAATTAATCACTATTTCAGTTGATAACCAAACACGAACCCAAGTAATAGTCTGTGGGTCAGGCCAGGCCCTCCCACCATGTATTACCCTCCCCTCTCCCTCCCACATATCTATAAATTGCGTATAGTTGTGTTCCTTCTAATTATTTATTAAAATAAAGTCAATGTTCCCACAAAAAAAAAGTGAACGCACTGGCCCAAAATGGCATCCAAGCCTTTTATTAAAACTGGATAGTCAGAGAATAATAAGATTAAGAACATAATTGCCTTAGGCAATAAAAAATCTAAAATCAATATGTAAAAAAAATAATTTGAAGTTGAAAATCAAGCGTTATTTATAATTTAACAGCCAATAATAACGAAAAATACCCTGAAATAAAACATCCGATAATCAAATTGGGGCCATTACAAAGCTAGATTGTATAGAAATACTTCCTTAAAGGTAAACCCATTTGGATTAGTAAGTCACCCATAACGTGTTCAATTTCTAGACGATGGATCAACACAATAAGGCTCTTGAATCTATTGGGATGTCCCCCAATTCCTCACTTGGAATCACTTATAATCAACAGCTAAATTTTGAAAGGACTTAATTATCACCATTTCTCTATAGTACTCTGTTACTTTTAATGATAGAATTTTCCCAAAGAAAAGTTAGAGGTACTTGCCACATTCTGATACTTATCGTACTCATACTTTCTAAAAGTACTTCATGGTGTTAGCCATACATTAGTACAAAAAGAACCCATAGTTTATAGCTGATTATAAAGAATACTCTACTAAAATCATACGAGTACTTTTCCATGGTTGAAATACTTCATGAAAACTTCAATATGAAAATTTTTTCATTTAAAATTTCCTCAATATTGGAGTTCGATATTGGTGACTGAGTTTTATAAAATACCATAGATTTATTTCAAGTTTTCGGATTTCTTTGAGATTAAGTTTAATCTTTTATATGTTACTACAGATATAGTTTTTTATATTATCGACTATAAGATTGAGCAATCGTATATCAGTTTATTTTAGCTTTTCATTTATTTATTTCGAAGATATAAAGATCATCTAATACTGTACTTCAATGTAATTTTCTTATTCTTCTTGGTCCACCCTGTATTATTTTGTCTCATAGGTAATCATAAAATGGAAAAAAACACAAACAGAATTTGCGTCAGATCATGCAATTGTGTCCCTTGTAACTGAGAATACTGAACAGGAAAAACATCAGTATTGAGAGAAAATTTAAGTTCAATACAGACCAATTCAATCTAAGATTGACGGATATTTATGCAATAAATTTCTCAATCTGGTTTGAATAGGTTGTTAACTAGTTTGATAATCACCTATAGGTCATAACCTAAAGACTAAAATAAGTGATACAAAATTGATATCAGATAAAAATGACTAATAGAGTTCCTACCTTTTTTAAATTTAAAAGATGACTCGCCATCTGAATTTCCTAAATGGGCAAATGGTCGAACATTATTAGTTACAGATTTCTCTTCTGAAGCTTCTAATTGTAAATTATGAAGACGTTCTAACATTAGAGGTACTAATTTAAGATTTTGTTCCCTGAAAATAATAAATTATAATTACTGATTAAATTTAGAGTTTAACAAGTTTTATATTATTATATAACGCTCATTAAACTATTAGTCTGAGAGCCTATGAGAAAAAATCAAAATCATTTGATGACAACTTTGAAAGCATTTTTTTGAATATTTATAAGAATACAAGTTTTCTCGACCTCCTGCCCCACAGTTTTATTTTATTTTATCATCTTTATTTTACATGTACGATTTGGTGCTTTGCCATATCAGCATATCTGAAACAATGCTCATTTATATTTTCTACTTCTCTTTAAAACAAATTTTTTTATATAATTTACGACAATTACCTATTATTCCTATTTTTTCAGATATGCTTACGATGGCCAAGTGCTGAAACGTAGACACAAAATTAAAATTATAAAATAAAATAAAATTGTGGAACAGGAGATTGAGAAAATTAGTATTTTTATTATTCACTCAGTACTTTTTACTGGTTATGTAATATGTTACAAAAATTACCTTTATTCCTCCACAAAGTTAACAAAGAAAAGTCTCTTGGCGCAGCTGATATGTATGGTAATCCGCCTTAGTGTCAGATAAATACTCGACAATTTTTCTGTACGTATCTAGGGTGTCAGGCATTAATTTCGTGTCATTAGTGCGGCTTTGGCATAAGTATTTACCTGAGCCCTCTATATTATTTAATTGTAGACACATTAATTGAAAAATTTTTATATTTCTAACGAATATTGGTGGGGGTTTAGGTTCACTAGGGATGGGTACTGCTTCCATTTGTTCATTCTGTGTGTTTGACAGCACTTGGAATGGATTAGCTGTAAAAATGGGTGATTCCTCTAACATACCTTTTATTGGTATAAGCTTGTGTTGACATATTTTGTGATGATGTGCCAGGTTGATTTTCAACTTCGTCAACTGAGCTCTCTGGTGTAGCTGGCGGGGTATTTTTTTTAGAGCGTCTAGCCCTTTTCTTGATAGGTGAACTCTTTGTGGTATCGAGACTCCTAGATCTTAAAGTTCGATTGTTACCTTTGCTCGACATTACCATGTGAAAATATCGCATCTCATGTTAATTAATTAGAGGTAAATGTAATAATTTGTAAAAAAAAAAGTCCTTTATCAATTACGTATATATTACGCGAGTTTGTAGAATTCCGAGTAACGTAGATGTGCTTCCGCCAAAGGGCAGCAGCCCACTGGTCGGATTAGCGAATGTATATGGCCGGCTTGTTATCTATCACTATCCTCAGGTCTATTTACACTGTTCACAATGCCGTTATAAATAAGTGATTACTCACCTTATTTACGTCCAGTTTCAACTGAATTGTTAACTTAACAGTTCACACTACTTTATTACTTTTCACATATAACATGAATTATTTCACTGATAATAAAGTCACTTTATAAGAGACGAAATAAAGAGTGTATGTGTAGGGTTAACGCATGCACAGAACTGTCCTAAATAATTTAGAACTCAAGTTATAAAATAAAAACCTGTTAGGTGTTTTTATTTATTTACTATTTATAGACGTGTTAAATCAAAAAGTTATTTATACAGTCTTGAAGAGCAATAATTCAGCTTTCCAACGGTTGTAGAAACATTGAATTAGGATAAAATTCTGAGGAGTTATGAATGTTATAGTTAATGCCAGGCAAAAACATCAGGCGCAGTTTTCATTGGCTAAAATACATCTATATTACAAGGTATACAATTTTTCATATGAGAATAAAATCTCTGGGAGAAGCCAATTCGGAAATACAGTTACCCTTTAACATTCGCGGGTTTGTTATCCATGAATTTCGTTTATCAGCTAATGTTAAAATGCGAAAAAGTGCCATCAAATTTGAAGATTCCATATTGATTATTATTAATTTTTAAAAAATTCTAATGCATACTGAACATGGATACAGATACTGATAGTGCAAAAGGCCATGTGTAAAAACTCATTATTTCTTTATGCTTTATTGGTATAATTTCATATTTTATTGTCCTCTGCTATTTTCCATAGCTGCAGACTGCAAAATGTAAGCTTTAGCACAAATAAAATAAAAGTTATAAATTTTTACATACAACCTTTTGCACTAATAGTAGTGATATATACTTAATAGGTACGTTTTCACACGTAAAATGGATGGAACTAGAAAATTCAACTTGCTGTTTGTTAGGAGTTAACGAGACCAATACTTTTCTTCAGTCAGAACTAAACTAATTAAGCTGGAATATAAAACTATGAATGGAGTTGACACAATTTTAATATTTAAGGAGTAAATCGAGACCACAACGAGCTGGTTGAACTTCAATGGAAATAAACATAATCACAAATAAGACTTTTTTTTTACAAGTTCAGAGTAAAAATTATTTTAAATTTACTGAAAATTACAAGAAATCAATGTAACGGCAAAAAGTGTCATGCCAGTAACGTTTGCAATCGACTAAACAATACAGTATAAAATAACTTTTTGAATAAAACCTAAAATTTGATAACCCTATAACAATAAAAACCTATTCCATATAATCAGAGCCTTCCATATTTCACAACCATTATATTGTTAATAATTATTTATATTAATTTTAATTATTAAATAGAATTCAATGAAATTGATATCAAGTAATTTCTATACTGTTCTACAAATTTCCTCCAAGTTTGGGTCAAATTGAATTCGCCGTTTCAAAACAATAGGCATATCAAGTAACACATTTCCTGATCTGAAACCACAAGTTTTTTTTTTTTAGTATTGGATAGAATTCGATAAAATTGATGCTTATTGCATTTTACGTTGACCCTTGTTTCAGACATCAAGGATCAAATTTGGTTCGGTGTCTGTTTGTCTGTCTGTAGTCAAATAGATGTAACAGGCATATCATCTACTACCGTTTATCCAATTTTTATGAAATTTTCAGGGATTGTGCGGGGTTGGTGTCTAGATGGTCCCATATCAATTTTATTAAATTTTTTTTAGTATTGGATAGAATTCGATAAGATTGATGCATATTGCATTTTACGTTGACCAATCCCTAAATTTCCTCAAAGTTTGGGCCAAATCGAATTTGCGGTTTTAGAGATATAGACGTATCAAGGGAAACACGTTTGCACATATATAAGAGAAAGCAATGGACAGAATTCAATCAAATTAACTCTATTGAATATTTAATGGTTGACCGTTGCATTATAAAGGAAGGAGATGGTCCGGGGTTGCGGTCATAAAAAGGCTAAATAGTGGTAAAACTATTTTATTGAAAGCCAACGTTTCGACCCGACTTTGCAGGTCTTCATCAGGGCTAGAACAGACAAGATACAAAAGATATAGAATTGTGGAAATTACATAATACTTAGACATAATTTATAAACAATGTGAATAGGCTTATTAGAATTATAAACAGTAAGTACAATACAATATGGACTAAGTAAGCTAAGTAACAAGATCCTAAAATAAAGTAAATAGATGCTAACAATTGTTGTAGTGTAATATATAACAAATGAAAATGTGAGTATAATTCTACAAAAAATACAGGAGAAAAAAAAAATAAAATAAAAAATAATAAAAAAAAATAAAAATATAAAAAAAATAAAAAATAAGATTAGAGACTTACAGGTGTGTTCCTCTAGGAGTTTCACTTAGAACTGGAAAGGCAGCGGTAAAGATTGCAGGTATAGGGGGAGGGGGGGGTTAACATGTGTTAACTAAGTAAAGGATTGCAGGTATAGAGGGAGTTAACATGTGTTAACTAAGTAAAGATTGAAAAACCCAGGAATGTACAGTACCTAGGAATTTTTGAAGATATGGATGGATATAATGGAAAAATACTATATCTATAAATATTAAAATTATAAATATATAAATATACATGTAAAATAGAGTTGAGAGATGTGAGAGGTATTTCATGATTCTAGATCAGAGTACAAAGTGAATACACCCAAAATTGGTAAAGAGTAAAATGTAAATATAGAAATAACTTCATTAACATACATACATTGCAGAGCTAACTTAAAAGTATAGAGAGGGAAAATAAAAAAAAAAATAAAAAATAAATAAATACAAAATATAGGGTGGTCATACATTGGTGTAGAGTGTAAATGTAAATTTAGAAAAATAGAAGAGAGATCATACAAAGAAGGAATATTTAGAATAATGAACAATTAAATGAATTAATTAATAAAAATTGAGAGTAGATGAAAATAATAGAATAGAATATTTATGTTATTTTTCCCTTATAAGACTTAAAATGTGTCTATATGTAAGAGAAATACAGTTTTTGTCTACTTTGTGATTAACGGGATTGTGTTCCATGTGAATGTGGATAGATTCGGAAATGAGTCTTTTTTCATGGTTAGGGACCATGGAAAGGATAGAGGTTTTTTCAAAATCAAATGAGTGGTTGAGTGTTAAAGCATGTTCTGATAGTTTAGAGGCGGAGGGATTCCGGGAAGTTATGGACGTTTTATGTTGGGAAATGCGGGTTTTGAGATAGTTTTTGGTTTCACCAATATAGGAGCTATTGCAATTAGGAGTAGAGCAAGGTATCCGGTAAACTACATTGGATCGGTGTTGTAAGAGTATGGGATCCTTCAAGTTGGTGAAAAGGGAAGAAAGTTTGTTATGGGACTTAAGGCCAAGGCGTAAGTTGGTTATAGTCGATTTTAGGAATTTTTGTATATTGTCTGAGAGGATAGGGATATAGGAGAGAGATTTGTATATGAAAGGAGTGGTAGATGATTGTGGGGAGTTGGGAGAGTGAGAGGCTGTATTGTTTTTGGTTGAATAGTAATTTAAAAGTTTATGTATGGTGTTCAGAGGAAAATTGTTAGAGAGCAGTATATTTTTGACACGTTGAGTGTTGGCTTGATGGTATTGTGGATCGGATAAGGAGAGGGATCGGTGAATAAGGTTTTTGGCGGTATTGATTTTTTGGTGATATGGGTGTTGGGAGTAATAGTTGAGTAGTCTGCCTGAGTATGTGGGTTTAGTGTACCAGTCAGTAGAGACAGAACCGTCAATGTTTTTCATTATTAGGAGGTCTAAGAAGGGGAGCGAATTGCTATCTTCTTTCTCTATGGTGAAACGGAGACGGGGGTGATAGGAGTTGAATAAGGAAAGAATTTGGGGGATGCTGTCAGGGTTAATAACAAGGAGGAGGTCATCAACATATTTTTTTATGAAAATGATGTCTTGATGAAAAGAAGGGATAACAGAGTCAAGAAGGTCATTGAGAACAATATTGGAAATATCTGGTGCTAAGGAATTTCCCATGGCTAGGCCAGAAATCTTTTTTTTTTTTTCTTTTTTTTTTATATATTTTTTTTATATTTTTTTTTTTTTATTTATTTTTTTTTTATTATTTTTATTTTATTTTTTTTTTCTCCTGTATTTTTTGTAGAATTATACTCACATTTTCATTTGTTATATATTACACTACAACAATTGTTAGCATCTATTTACTTTATTTTAGGATCTTGTTACTTAGCTTACTTAGTCCATATTGTATTGTACTTACTGTTTATAATTCTAATAAGCCTATTCACATTGTTTATAAATTATGTCTAAGTATTATGTAATTTCCACAATTCTATATCTTTTGTATCTTGTCCATTCTAGCCCTGATGAAGACCTGCAAAGTCGGGTCGAAACGTTGGCTTTCAATAAAATAGTTTTACCACTATTTAGCCTTTTTATGACCGCAACCCCGGACCATCTCCTTCCTTTATAATGCAACGGTCAACCATTAAATATTCAATAGAGTTAATTTGATTGAATTCTGTCCATTGCTTTCTCTTATATATGTGCAAACGTGTTTCCCTTGATACGTCTATATCTCTAAAACCGCAAATTCGATTTGGCCAAAACTTTGAGGAAATTTAGGGATTGGTCAACGTAAAATGCAATAGGCATCAATTTTATCGAATTCTATCCAATACTAAAAAAAATTTAATAAAATTGATATGGGACCATCTAGACACCAACCCGCACAATCCCTGAAAATTTCATAAAAATTGGATAAACGGTAGTAGATGATATGCCTGTTACATCTATTTGACTACAGACAGACAAACAGACACCGAACCAAATTTGATCCTTGATGTCTGAAACGTAAAACGCAAGTGAAAATTTTCGATTCTGAGCACAAATTCTTTTTTAACCTCTCACACGAATACAATGCTTCCCTTCCTTCAGTAGTGAGGAAGCAAAAATCTGTGTAGAAATATAAAACAATAATGAATTACTCCTTTCGATTTTTTTATATCTAAAGCTAGCTATCATACATTTTTTTAACAATTAATAGTAAAAAGACATGAAATCCCACAAGATATGATTTTCCTGTCTAAAATTCCAAATATTACCTAAAAACAACTGCTATTTCTTGAACTTCCATTGCAGCAGCAAGAAGCCCAGTGGCATATGTCTGAAGAGGCTCTGGGCTTTTTTCCGCCCAAGAAAATAGTCTCTGAACTAAAACATCATTAGTGGGCTACAAATAAAATATAAGACTATTACTTATACAATTTAAAAAGAAAAAACATTTTGAGAAAAAATTAAAATCAACTAAATACCATTTCAAAGACAGCTGCTGTTTCAAGACCAGGTGTAATATCCAACATCAAACGACAAGCAGCTACATTTAATTTCCGAACATCTCTGTTCTTCATTCCCAAACGTGAATAATAATTATCCCTTAAATAATCATTTACAAGCTGAAACATGATAAAACTCATTTTGATAACATGTTTGAAAAATTACTGTTACAAAAAGTAAAACTTTTTTAATTGTACATATTTGTTATTATTCTAAAGAAAATATTTTAACTAAAACATAAATGTAATGTGATCAATATTAAACAAAATGTTAAAACACTCCCGAAGCATAGACTTAACGTTTACTTTTATCTAATAGAAATATAGGATTTTATTTCCTTTTGTAAAATTTATTTTAATGAAATTACAAAAAATTAGAAATAATCCATAGATTTATACTTAAATGTAATCCTCAACAAAATTTTAAATATTTCATGCATTAAAATTAAGTCTTAATCAACTAAAACTTGCACAAAAGTTTCATATTTTATAACATTTTTGTCTTATTTTATACGAATTTTACCTGATACAGGCATGTGCCAGTTTCTTCCTCCCAGGAGCCAAGAATAAAGAGTATCTTAACTACCACCCACCTTGACCGATCTGCTTTTAATTTTTTTTTTTCACATTAAGATGATTTGATGATTTTATTTAAGAAGGATTCCATGTGATGTTTATTTTTGTGTCTTGTGTTGTCATCCAGTTAATATTATAGTATTTAGACATATCAATTAGCTAACATCACTTTTTTGAATATGAGCAAACATCACTTTTTTTAAATGGTTTAAGATTCCATAACAATTAAGTTTTACCTCTCACTTTTGCAGACATAAGGCACCCTCACATGTTAATTTATGAATACTAAAACCTCACAGCAACTCATTGCTTGACTCACCAAAAAGGCAAATGGCCAAATTATTGAGATTGTAATGTAAATAGTTTGATTTAGAACAGGGGTCCCTAAACTTTTTTACTTGTGGGCACATTTAAAGGTTTTTTGGCAAATGGCGGACACCATGTTTTTTATCTTATTTCTTTTTTTCTTTTTTATAGTAGGTGAATTGCAGATAAATTACTGTTTACAATATTTAAAAGTAGAATGTAAATGGTTTTAACAAAAAGAAATATAGAGATAATAACAGATAATTAATGAAACATATTTCTACAGAAAAGAAGAAAACATCAAGGCTCAAATTGATATTGGGTTTATATGAAGCTGGACTAGTTGAATATATATTACAGTTATCAATTGACAATAAGGCGCGATGTATAATATAGATTTTAATATATAATATGGTATAAGATTTCATATATGTTTCAAAATTGCTTCAAACCACAAAATTGATATTGTTCATAGTAGACGACACCTTTTTGAAGTTTATTAGTTTTTAACATTTTCAATTGTTCAAATTATTATTCAAAGTTTCTAAATAAATCACTGACAACAGAATTATATTTAATATCAATCAATGGGGAATTTTGTGATAATGATATGAAGTTTAGATTGACATTAATTTCATATAATTGGTAGTATGTGATAGAAGACATTAAAACTTATAAAAAGTCACCATAAACCATGGTCTGATTACATACATAGAACCAAGAATCTTAATTTTTTTAATTTTTAAGCCAAGCATGTTTTGTGTTGAGTAAAAAGGACTAACTAAGAAAATGTGTAAATTAATTTACAACCAATTACTTAATAGTAAATATAAATTAGTTTACAACCAATTACTTCATAGTAAACTAGATTAAATTTATATTAAAAGCAAGTAAATCTTGTCTGTTTTAAAACTATTAAAATTTTTAAAAAACTAAAACGGGACTTTTAAGCAGTTACCTTAACGACCAGTTAACTTAACTATGGTAAGTTTGGATTTTCATAAAATCGAGGATACTTTGTAATTTTTTTTTATAAACTCCTAACTGCAATAAACAACAATAGAAAGATATCTTAATATGGAGGGAACAAGACCTGACTTAACCTAATGTAAACATTATTTATAAGTGGGTGCAAATTTACCCTCATCAAGTAAGAATTGATTAACTTAATCTACATTTAAACCAAATTAATTTCATGTAGTTTAAGTGATTAATGTGACCGTGAACCAGATACCATCTTGGAGTAGTACTTTTGAACAAGTATTACTCAAAAATTTCACTAACAGTTAGTTAGATATATAATTGACCAAACTATTTTTTTACACCATTTATAAATTTAGCACTTTAATTTTACTCACTAGCCAACAGAATTAAATAATTTACTAATGTGTAATAAAACAAGCTGTCACTTTAAAACATTAACCATTTCTGTTAATAATTTTTGCCAACACAAAAATGCCCTAAGAGAGAAAGCTTATGTTAAAATAATGTTATGGTCAATGTTTATTACAAAGATTATAATTTTATAGACTATAAACAGAAGTGTAAATTACATCAATTGTAATTTTACAAATATGAATGTACCCGTAATGTTATGTTTACCTTTATCATAAAGAGTTCTTTCCTGAATAAAATTTTCAATGTGTGACCTAAACTACAACTAGGATAAGCTCTAGATGGATGCCTCTCATCAAAGGGGTCAGGATCCATTTTCATGTAGGCTTCAGTTTCAGATTCAATGATCTCAGCCAACCTGAACATAAAATGGCATCACAATAAAATTGAATTACATAAAACATGTGACAGGATAATTAACTTACGTAGTCAAAGTAGGGACAGGATCATATGCAGGTTGAGAATTCTCTTCATCCCACTGACGTAATATGGATAAAACATCTGGAGTTTCTGGAGCTTCAGACATCTCTTTGAAAACAATAACTATTACAAATAAATGTTTAATGTGATGCAGTCACCACAAATGAAATAATTGTTAATATCATACATTTTTTCAAGCTACTGACATCACATCATGTACTTAAACATAACAAAACTGTATAAATTACAATTTTCCATATGAAACTCAAATGCATGTAAATTGTCATCACTTTTTAAAGTATTACATATAAATCAAAATATAACACTACCAATATAAATACTATACATTAATTTATTTTTAAATAGTTAAAAAAAATTGTAAAAACTTGTACCTTACAACAGTATTATCCCAAGAGTCATCAACAAAATAAAAAAAAACAAATCATGAATTACTGAGTTCTAACATAACATAAGCACATGGAGTAAGGTTAGAACTGAAGTTGATAGTGTTTCGCTCCTAACAGAATTACCAATCTTTCAGTGACACCAACTTGAATTAAAATAATTTGTTTTGAATTATTCTTGAATTGTATTAGCCCTTAAAAACCTCATTTTTTCTGCTAGTTTAATTTGGCTATAATGGTATGACCAATCTAAAGTCATATAAGTACCCAACGGGTATTAAACTAGGCATGCATTAATGAATATTAATTGGATTAGGGACAATATTGTTCAACTAAACTGATTGTTTAGGCTTCTACAAGCAAAGCCACCACCTGAATTGCCGGGGAACGGAATGAAATTTCATCGAGCGCTCCCCCCCCCCCTAATCTATCCCAAATCGGCTAGTAGTATTTTTTTCTTTCTATTTTTAACCATTTTCCCTTGTTTAAATATTGAAAGAAATATGAGTGATTAAGAAGAGATAAATAGTTTAATTGAAAAATATATTGAGAAAAGAAATTATATTATACTGGCTTATAAAAATAACGTTTGTCTCTAACTAAAACATCTATGTGGCTTTTTCAGTCTACACTGGATCCGCATCCCATTGATACGGCTGAGAGACCATCGCTGGGGTCTCTTGTAGTGATGGGGTGTGACAGAGATTTTCTATCACAGCTCCGACAGTGACAGCTCCGGGAAAAATCACTGTGACAAATCACAGTGATTTGTCACTACAGTGATTTTTTTTCCGGTGTCAAATATACAATGGCTCCTTGGCGAAAGCGTCACTGTGAAATTATAGTTTACATGTTTAAATTTAAATATATATATATATATATATATATATTTTTTTTTTTCTTCCCTACCTCGCCTTTTAGGCTATACAGGATTTTCCCGGGCCGGGGGGGAGGGCGGGGAATTTAAAATCCCCTCCGGCACCGGGAAGCGAACTCGTCTTTCTAAATCTTCTCAAATCTGTAATCCGATTGCCAGGCAACTCGCGGTGTTGTGCACACGCTTTAGCCCATTCGGCCACTCCGCCCCCGTTTAAACTTATATTAAATTTTTTTTTTTTTCCTAGGATAAATTTTATATTTGATGGGGGAAAACATCTCTGGGATCCATTGGTTTTTGTGTACACCCCTGCAGAGAATATTTGAATTTATTTAATTTTTAATTAATATTTTTATTTATATTTCAACAGTTAAATGAAAAACTTCGTGTTAATTATTTCAGACATAACTCATTCAGAAATATATGGCAATGAATGCTCAATTCATCTGAAGTTCAAAAAGTATTTTTAATAAAATTTGACGATAACTATTATTTTAGAAATAATTATTTCATGATTATTTCTTTAATCATTTATTAAATTAATGAAATCATCAATGACCAGATTGCTAGAACGAAAAAGAAGTGATAGAGCGGAGTGGTCAGAGCTGTGATTTCACAGCACCTACAGTGACCTTCACTGTTGGGAGGACTTTTTTTTATTCAAAAGTAATTAAAATAACTGAAAAAATTATTACTTCAGGTTGGTTTTCAATACCCAAAAAAAATCTATTAGGATTTACATTGGAGAGTAGCGATTCAATTTTAATAGCAATTAATAATTTTTTTAATTTATGGTGAGCACATCACACAACTTTCACTTACCAATCTTGGAGCAGATAAGTATTTTCATATCGACAGCCACACTGCATAAGCCTGTTAGGACAATTTCTATGGAAAATGAGGTTTTGAGCTTTTCTGATCAATCTTGTCCTGGCGCATATTCTGATTCCACAAAACGAAATCGATGTTTCATTTCTTCTCTATGGCCTTCTTTAAAAACCTGTAATTTAAAACCCAGAAAATTGTGATGTAAAAAGCTATAAATTACAGTTAAGATTATAGAGATTATGTTTTTACCGAAAAAAAGTAATGATATGCTAAATGAAAGGTCATAAACAGAATATAATGCGTTTTTCGCATAGCCTGCGGTATCAATTAGCTTTATTAATTGGCTAAAATTAATTTTTATCAAACGTTTTGTATTTTTTTTTTAATTTCTAATAAGTGGTGGGGATTTTCAATCAGGCACCTCTGGACAACTGTCCGAGGTCCAGTGATCTGAGTCGACACTGCTTACCATGGAACTAGACGGAGCAAAGAAAAGAGTGGTGAGTGGGAATATAATATCAAACGGCCTTCAAAGCAATCGAAACTTCCTGGACGCTGAAAAAGAGCTGGACTGAAAAAAAAACGCGAATTCTAGATAGTGAGAAATAGAGAATTGATTTAATTAATTGGCAAGGTTAACACGAGACGTCACAGTGACTAGGCCGGAGCTGTTGATCACAGTGACGTCACGGTAGTCGCTGTGAAATTACTGCGCTCCAACAGTGACGGTCGCTGTAGACGTAGTTGTGCCATCAAAATTTTTGAGGAAACATATTCTGACGGGTTTTTGATTTCGAAGGTGGCAACGGAAAATCGATTCCTAAAAATGTGAGAAAAGTTTTTATTTTTTTAACTTGTATATATGGGTTTAGACATATTAAAAACAAAATTTGCTAACGCGGACCACCAGAGAAAACTTTTTACAGCCAAAAGAGACAGATTTATTTTCGAAATTTTTTCATCTATACCTCCTAAACGATGCACCAAAGCGAAAAATGTACTCTTTAATAAATTAAAGAACATTAAATTGTGCGTCGAACGAGTATATAAACTAAATAATTTACTTACGTGGTAAGATATAAAACAACCGTCAACCAACGCTCATTTTTACTAACTTTGTCAAAAACTGAGAAAAATTACTATAAATGGTCCTACAACATGAAAACGACTTTCCTAAAAAGTAAAAGCTATAGAATCAAGATTGTATAGCATCAAAGTTTGCGTCCACTGAGTACTGACATTTTTATAGTAGGCCAATTATATTATCTTGAATCGGGGTTCCTTATTCCTTTATGAAATTCGGTATCTTTCGACAAATCGTTTATCAAAATCCTTCGCTGCTGAGAGGTGGAAAGAGGCTTATACTGCATGTAACACACACTAAACAGAAATAACTCAGTAGAGTAATATAATTGGCCTACTATAAAAATGTCAGTACTCAGTGGACGCAAAATTTGATGCTATACAAGGACTCATAAGTCCTGTATGAATGCCCTATTGAGGAACAACAATTTCTTGATACCGTCTGCAAATAGAGAAATGGAAAACGACATTCTTTGAAATAAAAGAATGAATTAAGGACGAATCATATCGCAATGATAAATTTTAAAAATTTTATGGCGCGGTGCATGTTTTGCAGTTTCTTGAAAATGGCTCCTGAAGCCGAAACGTTGAATAAAGCATACTGGAGATAAAAAAACTGTGTTTTTTGGTGACCTTTGGCCTAAAATAGATATATGATAAATTATGAGAAAATGGCACCAAACCTGAAGGATGTGACTAGAAAATTAAATTAATAAGTTATTTGGCAATACAGTATTGATTTAATGTAGAAAAGTAAATAATAATCTTAAAATGTCCAGAAACAAAGGTCGGAGGGGTAAAATCAGTCTTTTGGCTACGTTTGAGCTCAATTCCTCCCCACCATTTTCCCTCGAGTAAGGGAACCTGGTAGTTTTACTGACCTTGACTATCTCCAATCAATATTGTAAATTTACCTGGCAAGGTACTAGTTCACAAGAGTTCCGCACGGATTACGCATGGTTTACAATCACTTCGATCACACTTGTTCATGGAATCCCGAAAATAGCCGAACGTTGTCGTCTTTTATGACGTCAGCTATTGTACCTTTTCATCCTTTTTCATGCATTTTTGAAGAAAAAAAAACGTATTTCCTTCGTGGAACTTCCTTTTTAAAAATGTATTTACTAATTAGTTAATTATTAATTTGCATTATAACGGTCATTACTGTGAAAGAAAAAGAAAACATATATAAAATAATGTTTGAGTCCTTTCTTCAAGACCTGTAAAAAAAAAATGCTTTTAGAAATAAAATTTTTATTGACACGTGCTTACATGTAGTGGCTATAAAAAATACGCATATACTGTTGTATATTATCTTTTATAAATTGTATAAAAGAGTTTTTCATCCTTTGGATAATAAATAATCTGAATGGCGATTATTGTAGTCATTCGTAAAATAAAAAAAACGTGTTTATTTTCGAGAAAGGAATTAACGTATTGAGAAAAGAACTGACGAAGAATATCTGATAATTCCGAGATAATGAATAATAGAAATCATAAATAAGAAAAATATTGTGAAATATCATTCAGAGATGTAATAATTAAATGTTTTTATCTATTAATATTCCTTTTTCACAGATATATAATATATGTACATGTTCGATTCAGATTTCATAATGTGTAGTCTAAATTTCGAATTTAAGTCAATACCTTAAATAACATTAATATGACTGAACATGTTTAAGGTTATAGAAGTACTTAAATGGCGGGAAAGTTAATCGTAATAACTAATTCAAGAGATCGGTCGCCTTCGTTCTCTGTCGGATAAACCCGAAGGCATTCGGGATTCCATGAACAAGTGTGACCGAAGTGATTGTGAACCATGCGTAATCCGTGCGGAACTCTTGTGAACTAGTACCCCACAAGGCCATGGCAGCAATAGTTTCTGATGTCAAATTGCACATTTATGCTGAT